GTTAACTGACTTGTTGCTGGCTCGCAGGATCAGTGATCGAGGGGTGGCACACCTTAGAGGGGCCACGTGCATCATCCCGAGTTGTTATGGCCCCCAAGAGTCGATTGCCGCCCGGTGTCCCCAAGAATGTCAGTGCTTGGCGACTGAACAAACAAGATGAAAAGCAGTTGGAGGAGGAACTGCGGACGTTGCGTGAACAAGGGGACGAGGCATTCGATGAAGAGGGGGCTCGAGCCACAATCAAGAGACGCATGCAAACGGAAAAAGCAGTCGAAGCCGCCAAGAGGAAGACGGAAACGCAGGCGAATGCGCTTAGCACAGCCGCTAAGGCTAAGGCCGCACCCAAGAAGGCGGTCGCGAAGGCGAAGGGGAAGCTGAGCACACCAGAGGACTCTGCAGCGGCTTCACCGGACACCCCCGGCCCGAACACAGAGTACTATGCACAGATGCTTGAGGCAGACGGTTGAGTCAAAAAAGATTTCAGACTTGAGGCAGTACTTGTCTTCGATAAATAATCCTGAGCTCTGACTCCCATGTTAGGACAAGGAGGTCATTCTGGCGGAGATGGGGGCGGCGTTCGAGCACGAGGACCCCTTGCCCATCGCCGAGGATGGGGCCACCGGCGGAGGCGTGCAAGATGTCTTCTGCAAGCAGAAGGCCGCCGCAGCGCTTCAGGATCAGAATGTGTACCGGGCAAGCATCAGTGTGTGGTGGCTGCAGTTGATTCCCAACCACTCGCCAGGCATTCCGCTCAACCGTGCAAGGGTTGAAGCCATGCGGGACTTCTATTATGGCACTGACAATGAGCCTCGCTTCCTCACACAGAGGATGATCGAAGTCATGGCCCCTGATGACTTGAGTGCCCCACGCAAGCTCGTGATGGTTTCTCCAGAAGAGCTGGTTCACTGTCTGTTGTTGGCTTTCGCAGACAGCATACGCAGGTCCGACGAGCTCTCGAAGGCAGACTGGGACAAGAAGAAGGCCAGGTGGAGAGCAGTGATGCTCTCAGTGCCAGCAGCTTTCATGAAGCTTCCTGACAATGTCAGTGCCGATTGGGCACTCGCCTTTAATCGACGTCAGGCGGTGCACCAGGACCATGAGAGCCTCAGCAGGACAGGACTGCAGCAAGTGATGGAGATTATGCTCCTCAAAGGGAAGATTGAAGCGGCAGAACCCCCAGAGAGAAAGATGTCGCTCAAGGCAGAAGAGCTCCTGGCGAAGTTGAAAAGCGCCGGTCTGCAAAACGTGAAGTACGGTGGCCGTGCCGGTGACAAAGACGAAGGAGACGGACCAGGAGCCCTGACCGTCAACATGATCGACAACTGCATCAACGTGCACTCCAAGCTTCTGGGCAACAACAGAATTGTGGAAATAATTCTTGAGAATGAGGACAGGTATGGTTCCGCCTCCTTTGCGCACCAGTTGTCCACCCTGGCTGCCGTCGCCGCCAAGTGCACCAACATGTCGATGCGTGAGTGGGTGATGGAGTCCATTGTTGATGCCGTGACCTTTGACGTGAAATCTTCCAACGCTGACTACACCAAGAGCTCGATCAGTGGCGACAAGACCCACGCCGGGTGGGCGGCTCTTTACGAGTTGAAGTTCGAGGCGACTGTGCTTTTCATAATTAGTTAGTATACTGGGTTTGACCGCGAAGCAGCAGCTGAGCATGCAGGTGATGAAGCACTTCTTACACTCCGTGCTGCCCACAACAACCATGTCCCCGAAAGACCTAGGCATCCTCAAGTCGCGGCTCGGCTCGCACAAGTGCTACCGCGAAGGCAAGGATGACGTGAGCTGGAAATCCCACTTGTCGCCAAGCGGGATAGCTGTTTATGAGTTCCTTGAGGAATTGGTGTTTGAGAAGGTCTTTGACTCCAGTCTCAGAATGTCTGCCAAGCAGGGCGGGGGAGCAGACCAGGTACTGGAACACCAGCAGGTCAAAAGCCGTTGGGATGACATCGTCTTGATGCTGAAGAAAGAGAAGGAGGAGCGCGATGCTGCTGAAAAGCTGCGAAAGGAGGAGGCCACGGCAGCCGGGGAGGACGGCGACAGGCATGACGCGGATGAGACGACCAAGGCAGTTAATGCAGCCAGAGCCGCTCCAACGTCCCTGGCCAAGGGAACCCCGGCCTATTGGCGGGCCGTAGCGAACGGAACAGTTCGCAGCTACGTGACGTTCGCAGTAGAACCGAAGACCCAGGACCAAGTTGCAACCATTGTGTCGCAGTCTAGCCTCAAGGATCTCGATTTGGAGACCGGGGAGAAGGCCGTCATGGTGTTCCTTGACGTTGAGAACCTCGGCGAGAGCATGGGGCCAAACTGCCAGAAATTCTTGAGGCGCAAGTTCGGGGTCACGGACAAGCTGCTCCGGAAGCTTGTTCATGGGGCCATGTCAGGCCGAGGATCACAAAAGCGGAACGACGAAGGCGAGGTAACCGTGCCAGTCGAGACTGACATCGTTTGCATCCACACAGGCACTGACCGCGCGTCAGCGGACAAGGAGGCGAAGAACCTCTTCAAGTTGTCCACGTCCAAAGCCGGGCCGGACTGCGACATCAAGGAGGTTAACCTGATCTTTAACGATTCCTCAATCAGGAGCAGAAGGAGGATCAACCGCAGGACCGCTTACAGCGTCGTGTCCAACTTGACGTTGGCGACCCAAGTGCCCATGATCCCTCGTGTCATCAAGGAGAAGAAGTACACCGCGTACGCCGCCCACAACTCCTCGGACTGCATAGCTCTGGTCATGGCTCTTCAGCCAGCAGACATGTGGCATCTTCCCAGGACTGGCGTTGCCATTGACATGCCATGTTGTTGGGGTTTCGGCCCTGGTCTGTAAGTTCTTATTATAATGTAGGCTGAAAGTTGTCCTATGTGCAGTGACACAGTCTGAAAGTTGTCGTATGCTGAAAGTTGTCGTCGTATGTGCCGTGGTCAGGACCGAGAAGGAGCAGGTTCTGACAAATGAGCGCTCTGTGACTGCAGCTGCCATCGAGAAGTCTGCGGCCGAAGCCGAGAATGACGAAGCGGAGCAGGGTCAGGACGAGACGGTCTTTTCAGCCGCGTGCCTGACGAAGGAATTCTTCACAGAATTTCTTCGGTGTCACAGCGCGGCTGGCGCTGTGGACCTGGCTATAGGGCAAGGCGAATGCCTGAAAGCATGCTTGGCGCTCCGCATTCCAGCGGTAGGAATTGCCCTGAGCGACCCACATTCCAAGCATGTGGAGTTGGCCCTGACGGAGTATGTGCTGAAGCAGATGAGCACGGAAGGATCCACGTTCTATCGTGCGGAAGCGGCACAAGCGCTTGGCGAGGCAGCCGCGACGGAGAAGAAGAAGAAGAAGAATGACGATGATGGTGACGACGAGACCCAGCCGATGAAGAAGCCTAGGTCCAAGAAAACCGCGAAGCCGAAGAAGCAGAAGGAGGGCCAGGAGGACGACGAGGATGATGCTGACGAAAAGGACGAGCCCAAGAAGAAGTCCGATAACAAAAAGAAGCGCAAGAAGCAGGATGAGAGTGACGGGGGCGAGAGTTCATCCAGCCTTCCGTGGAAGTGAGGAAAGCCTGCTGTTCATGAATCCTGAATGTGTGAGCATGTCGCCCGAAGACACACTTGGTGTGCAAAGAGCTATTATAGTTGTTGACACCAGCTTTTGGTGAGCCCGGGGGCAATTTTGACCATGCTCGCAGGCAGGATCATTCTTTTAGACTTCGTGGCCGAAGAGTCAATATGTGACTACAGTGAGTCAGGAGCTATCAGGCATTTTTCGGTCATGTTCAGGACTTCAACAGATCAGCTCAGTGGCACAATTCAGTTCCTCTCACTGTGGCTCACGAGTCGCTGGTTCCTCTCTAAACTTTCCACCGCAATCATTGCACGGGCAAGCTTCATGGCCTTAAGTGTTCCATGTCCGGCCTGACTTTGTCTGCGACGAAGAGGGGTGCCTGCCAGCTCGAAAACCTCAAAAAGAGTGTGCCGACAGCGTGAGACACGAAGTCATGCGATGGCTGGATTTCCGAAGCATTGCTCACGATTGGACTTGTCAATCTCTGCGTATGAATCTCAAATTAGGTTCATAGTGGGAGTGACAATTTCTTGTTGCAGGTGCCTGCGAAGCCGGTGTCCAAGCTTGCCGACGTGCGCGGGCCTTGGTCCCTTGAACTCTGAACGAGCTGGCCTTTCGTCCCTTGCTTATTAAAACCCGGTAACTTTTCAATCCGACAAACGAAACTTCGCGAAAATACTACTGTAGCACATTGACAAGTCCCGTCCTTCCCGCAGCATTCGGTGCCCCCAAATCAGCAAAAAACAATCATATCCCTGAGCCGGGCATCTGCACTGTGCAGCGCGGCTCTGCAGGGCTAGCTAGTGATACTGACTGGTGGCACTTTGACAGTGCTCACAGCAGACTGCAGCGGCCTCAAACTCAAACAGTCCTTTAATCGGACGCTGTTGTCATTGCCACTGGTCCAAGAAGACGAGGACGAGCGTTCATCCAGCCTAGCTGGAAGTGGGCAAGGCCGGCTGTTCATGAATGTCTGAGCATGTTGCCTGCAGTTGTCATGAGGTTTCGGTGACAGGTTGCAGTAAGAAGTAAGCAAAAAGACCATCTTCCTCGGGTTAGTGGTCGGTCACTTGATTGCTTCTTTGAGTCGAAGGCTTGCTGTCCGCAGCATTGTCAGCCTCGATTTGCAGCCTTTGCTTGTGGCAAACGGAGGAACAATCTTTGCGATCTGTTGCGCGGCGTGGTGCTTCGAGATTTTCTTCTGGTTCAACTTTATCCTGGATGGTGCTGCGCTCGTCTGGGCAACCTCTGACTCGGACCCGGACTCGGGCGACTGACCGGTCATCTCAAAATAGGAGCTGTGGGCAGTGAGCCCAACGACTCAGACACACGCTTGACAAGCAAAGAGCTTGTGTGTGTGTGTGCTTAGTTACTAGAAGAGCTTTTGGTGGGCCAGGGGGCCGAGTTTGACAGTGCTCGCAGGCAGTGTCATTCTTTTAGATTTCGCGTGCTCCCAGTGCCAGTGAGTCATTACTCGAGGTGGTCATGCGACTGGTGTGAGTCAGGAGCTATCAGGCCACAACTGCAACAGTTCAGCTTAGTGGTTCTTGCACTGTGGCTCACTAGTCGCTGGCTCCACTGGAAACCTTCCACCACAGTCATTGCAGAGGCAAGCTTCATGGCCTTAGGTGTTCCATGTCCGGCCTGACCTTGTCTGCGACGAAGAGGTGTGCCTGCCAGCTCGAAAATCTCAGTGAGAGTGCGCGGGCAGCATGAGACACGAATTCTCCAATGGCTGGAATTCCGAAGCGCTGCTCATGATTGGACTTGTCAATCTCTGCACATGAATCTCAAGTTAGGTTCATAGTGGGAGTGACAATTACTTGCCGCAGGTGCCTGCAAAGCCGGTGTCCAAGCTTGCCGACGTGCGCGGGCCTTTGTCGGTTGAAACAGACAAAGACACTTTGAACTCTAAACGAGCTGGCCTTTCGTCCCTTGCTTAAAACCCGGTAACTTTTCAATCCGACCAGCTGCGAGAAACGAAACTTCGCGAAAATAATACTGTAGCAACACCAAGAAGTCCCCCCCGTCCCACAACATTCGGTACCCCCAAATCAGCAAAAAAACAATAATAATAACCCTGAGAGCCGGGCATCTGCGCTGTGCAGTGCGGCTCTGCAGCACTAGCTGCTGGCGCTTTGACAGTGCTCACAGCAGATTGCAGACAGCTTTTTGGTCGGACACTGTTCTCATTGTCACTGTCACATTGGCAATCGGCCGACAGCTGTTCTGCGCAGGCCGCAAGACGAATTGAGGTGCCGCACTGACTGACACCGTGCATTTCATAAAGAAAGAGGGAGACAGCTGGATAACAGCGTGCTGAATCAGACCTGCAAGCGCGACTTTTCTTCTCGTCTTCTCGTGCGATCTACTGGGTTTTGCGTGTCCGCTTCTTGGATATAGGGCCGCAGTTCTTGAGTAGGCACTGCTGTAGTTCCGGAGAAGCGTCCAGCGCTTCCCAGCACTGGTTTTCATCCAGTTGCCCGTAACCGTGCCAGACACTCCTATTCCTGATCGTCGCGAACTTCATCCCAGCTTCTTCGGCAGCGGAGGTGGATTTGATATCGTTAATCATTCTGTGCCTCGAGCTGTGGGAGCGAATTTGATGTCTATTCTCGTAGAGAATACCCTGCGTTTTGAACGTAGTTCTGGCTCTGCCTATCAATTTGCAGACCGTATTCTTGGTTTTATGCAATCCTTTGGCGTCCTGCCGGGTGCTTGGAAACAAATACCCGCTTGCTTTTGTGGGGAAAGACCAGCTGTCAGTCTCTATGATAGATCCACGGCTTCCTCTCCTCATCTTTCTCTTCTGCGAAATACCGTTCTTTCGCAATTCTTGCAGAGCACCATAGACTCCATCCAACATTGGCTTGTAAATGCCAGGCTTGCCCTTGAACGGGGCAAACCAGACTCTGCGCCTTTGGAAATCCCAGTCTTGCACCTGCAGCCGGAGAACCTGACTTATTCTGCAGCAAAAGCAATAGCAGAAGAAGATAGCCATAGTCAACCAGCAACTTGCATTTTCCTGTAGATGCCTGAGCCACTCGGACCAGACCAGGGTGAGCGAGTCGGCTTTGCCAAGCTTCTTCCCCTTGTTGACATTCTTTCTAGTTCTGGAAGCCATGACGGATTTGCGGGGGGCTGAATTACACCTGTGTCCGTGGAAACTACATCTTACCATGCTTGCTCGGAGCATGTGCTTTCCTTTAGCCGTCGATTAGCCGTCGATGGTTGAAAGTACCTCTTACCATGCACGCTTGCCAGGCATCTGCGGCTGCAGGGACTCGACTACATTCGACTTGATCTCTCCTTCGGGGAGTCCACCTTTCCGGCGGGAAAGGTGGACTCCCCGAACCACGCCAAAAACCGCCAAAAGCCCAGGCCAAAGCCAAAC